ACAAACGCAACCAAGATTACCGTGTGTAACCAGCAATGTTACACATCACATCACGACTACAGGACCACCTGTATTCTCTAAAGCACGACGACTAGCTCCTGAAAAGCTAAGGTTAGCGAAAAACGAATTCGATCACATGATGGACTTAGGGATCATACGACCGTCAAGTAGCCCATATGCATCTCCGTTGCATATGGTCCCTAAAAAGGACAGCAACGATTGGCGTACAACTGGTGACTATCGGCGATTGAACGCGAAAACCATTCCCGATCGTTACCCGTTGCCTCACATTCACGATTTGACAGCTACCTTGAAAGGTACAACTGTCTTTTCGAAAATCGACTTGGTTAAAGTGTATAACCAAATCCCTATGGCTACTGACGACATACCGAAAACAGCTATCATAACTCCTTTCGGACTCTATGAATTTTTGCGAATGCCTTTCGGTCTAAGGAATGCTGCTCAAACATTCCAAAGATTCATAGACGACGTTTTTCGAGGTCTCAACTTCGTACACGCGTATGTTGACGACTGTCTAATCGCAAGTCCGGACAGAGAAACACATCTCAGGCATCTGGATCTTGTTTTCGAACGACTTCAAAAACATGGCATAACTGTAAACGTTCAGAAATGCCAATTCGGAACCGACTCATTAGACTTTCTGGGACACACTATCGATGCTCAAAGTATCCGACCCCTTAGAACCAAAGTGGCGGCCATTCTGGATTACTCAGAACCGACCACCGTCAAGCAATTACGCACGTTTAACGGCCTGGTAAGTTTCTATAGACGTTTCATACCGAAATGCGCATTACTCATGAAACCTCTAACCGACCAACTTCGTGGAAATGCGAAATCCATGAATTTGGACGACACCGCACAAAAAGCATTCTCTACAATTAAGGAACTTATCGCTAAAGCAACAATGCCTGCTCATCAGGACACGGAAGCACTCATTAGCATCGCAGTAGTCGCATTCGACTCAGCATTCGGAGGAGTCTTACAACAATGGGTTAACAACTCCTGGCAACCCTTGGCATTTTTCTCTAGACGGTTGCTAGACACCGAATCGAGGTACAGCACATTCGGTAGAGAACTCCTAGCTATGTATTGTGCTGTACGACATTTTCAACACTACATCGAAGGTCGTGAATTCACTCTTTTCACGGACCATAAACCGCTCACTTTCTCGTTAAGCTCTCCTTCAGACAAGTACTCTCCTCGTGAGTCTCGACAACTGGACTACATTTCGCAGTTTACTTCAGATATTCAACACATCTCTGGAGCAAACAATGTAGTTGCAGACGCCTTATTTCGCATAACTTCCTTGAACGGTTTCCAAGGAATCGACCTTCTTAAACTCGCCGAGCTTCAAAAAGAAGACACTGATCTTCAGCACAACACTTAAACTACGCATCAAACAGATGGGAACAGGTAAGGAAATCTTACTTTGTGACACATCTACAGGTAGGGATCGCCCAATCGTGCCGAAACGCAATGTCTTCGACACATTGCACAAACATTCTCATCCAGGTGTTCGTGCAACCATCAAGCTTATAGCAGAACGGTTTTGCTGGCCTGGAATGAATAAAGACGTGAGGGAGTGGGCACGCTCCTGTGTAAGCTGCCAAAAATCTAAGGTCATCAGACACAATAAATGTCCCTTAGGCTCGTTTAAAACTCCCGATGCTCGTTTCGACCATGTTCATTTGGATTTGGTAGGACCGTTACCAGATTCAAATGGATACTCTTACCTCTTAACCTTAGTAGACCGTTTCACTCGATGGCCAGAAGCAGTACCTATCAAGGACATCACTGCTGAAACAGTGGCCCGCACCTTCGTCGAACGATGGGTAGCAAACTTCGGTTGCCCTTCAACCATCACTACAGACCGCGGACGTCAGTTTGAATCTGAACTTTTCCGTCGTCTGACCACACTTTTAGGAATCACTCGCTTCCGAACGACCGCCTACCACCCACAAGCAAACGGGTTGGTAGAACGTTTTCATCGACAACTAAAAGCTTCACTATCAGCTGCAAACGTTTCACAGTGGACCGACGCTCTTCCACTCGTCTTACTAGGTATCCGCAATGCAGTGAAAGCTGACATTGGATACACTGCGGCTCAACTCGTTTATGGAACGACACTTCGACTTCCAGGAGAATTCGTGGATCCTTCATCCTCGTCAATGAACATGGATCTAACCTCCTACACAAACAGGCTTACAAACGCAATGCGTTCAGTTAAACCTGCTTCCACTCGACCTCAATCAACTGATGTTTTCGTTCAACCTGACTTACGATATAGTACACACGTTTTCGTTCGTCGAGACTCGCATCGACGACCATTCGAATCAGCATACGAAGGACACTTCAAAGTTCTTCAACGCGAACCGAAGTACTATATAGTCGATAAGAACGGAACCAACGATAGCATCAGCATCGATCGCTTAAAAGCAGCGTATTTAGAAGGAAATCCTATCTACGTCGATTTTCCTTCGGTACAATCGAACGACACGACTCCACTCATAATTCCTCAACCGACAACCAACACTAGCGATGATACTCCGAATGTATCTGAAAATAAACCTAAAACGACGCGTTCTGGAAGAAGAGTAAGATTTCCAGAACATTTAAACGACTATTGCACGTAAGGCACTTCTCGACATTTTATATTATTTTTAAAAAAAAAACAGTTTTAATATGCTTATATATTTTTATTTCTATTTAAAAAAACAAACAAAAAAAACAATTTTTTTTAACGCTATTACGTGTTCATGAGTTTATTTTCCATTTTTTTCCGCCGACATTGTGTTTTTACGCACATACGAGTGTATTTTCGACATGCACTTACATTTTCTTTTTTCTTTTCCAGGACGGTTGGAAAAAGAACGATGACGTTTATGAGGATCCGAAATTTTCATTGTACATTTTCTTTTTTTACTATGTTGTACCTCCGTCCCATATAGTAAGGAAAGACGACCAGACGCTGCTAAATTTAGTAAGCTATCAGAAGAGTGTTTACCAACGACAAACTCGTTGAGTTTAAACTTCTGGCTGGCCACGTCTTAGGGTCGTCACTGCCCCACTAGGGGGGGAGTGATCTGTAGCGGTAAATAAATCCCCAAAATAAATAGCCCTAAGTTTTCGACATTGGATGCTGACCATATGTTTTCGTGGACTCATCTAGCTGAAGGCGCTCGGTCATGCATCCGCACCAGATCACGTGTGGTAACGCTGTGCTCAACATCAACCACAATCGCTAGCCAGATTAGATCAGAGAATCTCGATATATTGGTCATCGCCAAATATACTCTTCCGATCTCCTCGACTCTGTCTTTTGATTCCTCTGGGTGGGAACGAAATATATTAGAGGGTGTTACTGGTAAAAGCGTTGTCAAACACTGAATACCTGTGGCATCATCACTTGAGATACTTTTCTCATCCCCTCGATGACTAGGTTACAGTTCCAATTCTCTCTAATCACTTTCAGACCAATATTATTTCTTTAATAAAGAAAACAACTGATTTCTGTGTTATTCTGGTAATAAGTTTGGAGGGGGTTAGCAGGTTTGGTGATGTCTAAAGAACTGAACCATTCTCGATTACTCAGAAATTAAGGGAGAGTAAATAATATTAGTTATGTCGAGTATCTGTTTCAATAATTCGTCAAAGAGTGCAAAGCTAATAGGCGGGGCTTGTCGTACACTTGATTTCGCTTCTCTATTGCTGCTTTTTGATTATGACGTCTTGGTTGAGCTCTCGAAACCGTTTACACCTGATACACCAAGCAGTATTTGAAAAGCTATTTCATGGGCATAAAATTGTCACGGATATTCTGGGCTTGGAAACACTTTCGTCATTAACACTTAAATAATCGGAGGATCCCAAACTCAGTCGTACCAGAAGTACGGACTTAGGGGGCTTGAAGACACATTCCGAAGGTATACTTTATGTCGAAAAGTGCTTGAACTGATCAGGCTAGTTGCTAAGAGGGATGCCTGGTATGGAATACCAGATGGTTATCCGGGGGGAATGCGTGGCACAGCGCCTTCAGATAGGATTTCCTCAGTAAAACGAATGAAGTACGGATCAATTTGAAAGGTTTACAGGACTTCCTATTCGGGGGATATATTCATCATTACAGTCGTTGGTAGTTAAATTCACCTACTATTCTATATCACTGTCATTATTCTCTAGTTATCATGCGAAATTTCAAACGGATTTCAATTTTCTTTCAAGTTCTTATGAATTACTCTAGCTATATCCCTTATTCATTGTGACCCCACCTGCTAAAAAGGAAAGCTAGCGATTTTAACATGTTCGCTAAACAGGTACGAAAATGATGTTCCTTTCATTCTCAAATTATTTGGAATGCCTATGAAAAAGGATAAAAGAGCGTCCGATAACACAATATGATGGCTCCTACGTACTAAAAACTACTATTCAAGTAGACTTACGATATGGAAACTTGAACCTACACGTGTTCTTCCCTGAAATGAGCGTTGGAAATAAACAGCCAGAGATGTTAGATCATTAAAAGAGAGGATGCATACATTAGGTAACAAACGGAGTAAAGTATACTATTGTATTCGATACTTCGATGTACACCCTTTCCTTTTTCAGTTCACTAAAACAAACAGTACTTATCACTTCACATAGCATCCATTGAACAATTTGATTTTGAGATTATTCATCCGTGATACCTGTAGTCACGGTCAACACATCTACAGCCTCTCAAAAACCTGTTTAATCAATTAAAATACAGTCTAAATTCGAGGCTCAAGGCTTAAGATCAGAGAGGTTTACTGAACTTGATAATATTGTTTGATATTTTGTTACTTAGACGATCGGCTACTAGCATAAATTCGGTGCCTTACATGATGGTAAGTATGGTTGTATTCACTTCTATGTACACCGTAGCAAGTTATAGTAGTCTAGAAAGACAGCATGTTAACAGGATGTAGTGATTATCCCTTTCTGTTCATGGCTATGCGCTAATATAAGTCCGACTTTTACGCGCACTTCTCAAAACCTTCGCTTGTAGTGGGTAACTTATCAAAATTCTAACTAACGTGGTATGAAACAGTCAGAAAGCGAGGAGCACAATATTTACCTAGTAAGGATATCTGTTTTAATTTCGAAGAGCTTTTGTTTAACACTTAATCCAATCTTTGATACATAACCTCAGCGACTTTGGAGAGCTGCGTAACCTCCGCTTTTTGACTCTCTGAAAGGATTTAAGGTTTGATGGTCTTAAAATGTTTCCGAATAGAGTTTCAATAGATTGGTAGTGTTTTCCTTGTAAGTTTGACTACGTTTTAGCTACTCGACGTCCTTTCGATGTTACCTAAAGTATATTGTGTTTATGAACTTTAACCCACTAGATTTAAGCAGTCAACCACTTTTAACATATGGCAATTTTTTCGCCGTAAAGGTTTAGCTCACCATGGACTTTATTATTTTGGTGGAAATTAGTTTTGGTAGGAACTACGCGGCCAGTGCTGGAAATATCTTCCATTGGTTGTGGAATATTCGTTTTGTATCTCACTCCACTACTGACTAGATAGGCTGTGGTTTTATATCTCATGCCTATATGTCAGACTAGTTAGTCCAAGTTGTTTCTTATCTGAGTCAGTAGTACATATGGCAGAACCTGGTAGGTGGTTGAAAATATTATGAATAGGCAAAATGATTTGAAGAAAATGAATAAATTCATGAACCAAAGGATTTAAAAGCTAGTTAAAATTTTTAAGGTGCGAAGATCAGCAGTGAATACATTTGTTCCCTGACGAACGACTCGGGATTATCCTCTACGACTCTAATCAATGGTCATGAGAAAAGCGTGGACCCCAACCTTTCAGACTGCACTCATTAACATGCCTCACTCCAACAGTAAGTGACTTTACTGACTGATCCTACGTTTTGGTCTGGCCGCCTACAGATTTCCTCGAATAAACTCCTACAATAGCTAATGTCGCACGTAGAGGTAGACGATGGCTGGGATCACGTAATACATGTCCAAACTACCTAAATTGATTGATGTCCACTATCTCGTCAACTGGTTCGCCACCTATACCTAGAGCTCTTTGTCTGACATCACTGTTGCACACTAAGTGGCCCGAAAAAGCGCGAGGAATGCTTCGGAGGAAACTTCTATTTCTAATTACTAGGATGGCTGGTGATATTTCCAAGACAAATGAAATAGTAGAAGCACTCGACTACACTGTCTATCATCAGTTTAAGTATTACTGCAGAGCAGTCATGAAGCAACATTCCCAGAATTGAAAATTAATGCTCTTTATGGAACAGTCTACAAACACACACAGAATATACATGATTCATCGGATACACTATGCCAAATTGATAGTAATTAGTTGTTCATAAAATTCATCTGTTTTAGATATTTATTACTGCTTAAATAGTGTTGTCAGTAAAAGTATCACTCATTTGTAAAAACGACCTCACTAGATTATTGTATGATACTTCTCTTCATCTTTAGTTGTCAGTCAGTTTTTTTAATGACAACACAATGTTTATATTAGAGTAGAACATTATCAACTACTTCACTCGTTATCATTAATTTAAGTGTCAACGCAAACCAGTCATGAAGCAACATATGGAATTTAGAGGGAACAAATTACAAACCACACGTGTTTACACTGTTGCTCAAGACGATTGGAAGACTGCATTTTCTCAGAGTTTCTATCAAAACAAGACTATGTTACTTAAGTATTCTAAGTTAGCAAGCGATATTCTCAGTAATAAATCAATCCCTGAAACGTTAAACGATGAGAGCATTATCACTAGACGAATGTCTATGACGAGGTTAGACAAGAATAGGGACACTGGAAAACTTACAAACGCCACTAAATGTTAGCACTTCCAATGACAGTTTGTTATAAGCTCTGATTCAACCAGTAGCATTCGAGTATACAGTCTGCACAAGGATGCTGTACTGTGGTGAGCTCTTAATTGACAGACAGTCCCATAAAATCTTGCAACCAACAGAATCAAACGCTGCCTTAAGGTCGAGAAATAGAACTGTGGTTAGGAATCAGTAGGTTTGTCTGTATTCCAAAATTTGATGAGGAGCAACTGTTTGGTATACGCAAATACTCTAAGGTCTAAAGACAGTCTGGTTTTCTTGAGTATGATCTTCACGGACTCTAGTGGTTATCACACAAGTGGATTTTGTTCTTGTTAACCGGAACGATCAGTGGTTGAAATCAATTGGCATTATGTCCAATAAGAAGATTATGGGTAAGATATTAGTAAGTCCATCTGTTAAGAATAGACGACTATCTCAGATGGTATGTCTCAACTAATCAAGTTAAGGAATGTTCAAATCCCATCAACGAACTTTGGACGCTTACCTAGTTCTTTGTGTCTAATCTCAGCACTACCCACTCCGTGATTTTGACAATCATCAGTTTTACGAATAAGTCGCCTACTTTAAAGACTACGTTTCACAACCGTAAAGTAGATAGAGCGAGCTGATGTGCAGCATACTCGACCTTTGGTTAGCAAATGGAGATCTCGAGCAAGCGAGAGATGATTTAAGTTGGCAAAGACTAATCGAGCTTTCTGAATCCATTTCAAGGGCTTTTGAGACCTCCAAGATGAGTTAAGTAGTCACTACACTCTACCACTTCAATGCTTATCGTTAGCGTAGACGTTGGCCCACACCAGTGAAATCATATAAATAAATAATCTTCATGAACAGATATCCGCCCCACATAACTGCGAATCTATGACAACTTTTGAAAAGAGTACATCCTTAAATCCTGGATTACTGATTAGTCTTTTCATAACATTGCTCGTTTATAATAAAATAATCAAGTAATGCTGAATTTATGGGCGAACTAATTGTTGGAACTGGTAAGTCTTGATGAGGCTTAAAATTAATAACTGGGATTGTTGGCTTTGTTGTCCCTACACTCGGACCCCTGCTTAGCTATGTGGAGATGTGGAGGTTTTCTAGTTTTTGCGTGTGATAACTCACTGATACTGGCGCATTAATTCCGTCTCCTGCGCCAAATTTTCAAAGTAATGTACAATATTCGTTCTGTCCACTTCACTTTTTTCTCTTGACTCTTAATTATTTTTCTAGTTTTCATTATTACTGGTAAAGTCGTTCACCCATCGTTGTTTTACCTGTTCGTTAATTTGCCGTTGCTCTGAAATACAACAAGTGAGACCAATGCATATTTGCACCAGGTCCTTTGGTATTGGTATCTATTTGTCATTGATTATCTCTGGTGGTTACAGTCTCGAAAATTAGTTTTCAGAATCCCGTCGTAGTTGATTGGAATTTTAAATTGACATTTGGAGTGCTCAAATGTCTAGGTATAAATAATTTGCCCAGGTCAGCATGCCATCACTAAAATATTGTCATTAAATATGATATAAAAATGTTCTGTGGTTGCTAGTTTGAAGATCCTCCATCTTAAAGCAGCAAAATATCTGACTTCATAAAACAGTGATATGTGAATTTAGTTATTTTTAAAAGTATTTCGTATGATACTGTTTTGGCATACTATTTTAAGTGAATTCCAAGGCTTAAGGTGATTTGTAGCTGGTAGTTGTAACGTAGTTTCATGATTGCGTCTCATTCTCTTAATGTTACATTGCTTTTCGTGAATTGAACTTTGAACTTTACGTTTTTAGGTTGAGAGCATTATAGACAGACGAGTTCGCCGTGGTCGCGTGGAGTACCGTGTTAGATGGAAGGGGTTTCCTCCGGAGCAAGATTCTTGGGAACCCTTCACCAGTCTTCGCGAACCATGCCTTTCATTAATTCAAGACTTTCACATCCGTTACCGCAAACTTCATCATGGAAAAAGGCGTTACTCTCTACCCTTGGTTTCTCGTAGTAAGCTTTTGAAGTGTGAAACAGATGAATTTCATGACATGTCTGTAAAATTAGAAAAAGATAGCGATGACGACTTAGCTGCAGACAAGAGCAGTATTTCGTCTACCAAAAGCCAACCACCTCCACTTCCTTTTAAGTTAGGTAAGAGAAATACTGTACGGCCAACGTCGCGTCGTTCTGCTCCAAGTTCAGTAGCCTTAAGTTCGACTAGTTTCTTTTCGTTACAACCGGGAACTTATTCTGGCCACTCGTCATCCCTTCCGAGTTCTGAGTCCAGTGTTTCTCAAACACCATTAGTCTGCGATCCAGGTGCGTTGTTGAACATCCAAACACTTGACCGTTCAGATCATACGGTACACCCAGATAATGGTTGGGTTCCCTGTGAAGTTTCTGGTGCTTCAACTGGTTCACTATCTAGTCCTAATACAATTCAGGCTGAAGATGACTGTAAAGTTCCCATGGATAAAGTTCCTGTTGCCGGACTTTCTAAAAATAACTGCAGAGATACTTCACAACGATTACAAAAAACATCAAGATCACTTCCTGACCAATCAAACCGTAATACTCCCAAGTCGAGCAAATGCAAATTGCAGCCCAATGATGGTGCTGGTAAACAAAATGATTCAGCATCTGCAAATCAGCAAGTCTCTCAAAACTTCCTGAAGGGAGATAAGAACGTAGGTAATTTCACTACCTCTGATACCCAAGAAAATTCTATCCTCGGGCAAACACGTAAATCTGTTACGATTATGCTAAAGGCTTCTCCCACACATGAGTTTCAGAGCACTAGATCTCTCCACCGCAGTAATTCACCAAACTCTAAATCTCTTCCTACTACTGCCTCTAAACCGGTTTCCAAAAAGCGTGTTCAGCCTACTAGTGCAACTTCAAAGCCGGAACTAGATGTTGATGCTTCCGAATCCCTACCATCACGTGAAGATCAATCTCTCATATCTGATTCTATCATATCAAAAGTCATGAATATCGTTGTTCATCTGAAAAACTTAAGAAGACGCCCTGTACAAGAGATTGTCCTGGCACTTTGCCAAAAGCACCATAGTATTCCTGAAAGCCTCGTTTTATCTTCTCTGGACATCTTAGTTACACGAGGTCACTTACACCGTGTTGAGTCAGCCAAGGGTATATCTTATCGTTCCAACCCTTTTGTTGTGGCTCGGGGGGACCTAAAGAAACCTGCATCTCTATCAGCCAAAATTAAAGCCAAATATAATGGTGGAGTGAATGGAAAACGACCCAAGTGCACGACGTCTGCTGTACCTGAGCCTAAACGACCGGATTCAGTGGAGTCACCAAGCCATTCTTTATCTAAAATTGCACGAACTGATCCATCAACCAATGTTCACCAGCGCTCTAGTCGGAGATCTGTAACATATGGATCAGTGGCTTCTGAAAAATCCAATACGCACTGTTCTTGTTATTCAGATATCAATGGAAAAATCTATTTCAATCAGTCTTCTGTTATTGTGGATGATGTACAAGTAAATCAGGATCATACCATACATCTCAACGGAGATTATTCAATGAGTGTTAAATCACCACCAAGTATGTAGTTCTTTTTTTCCTATCTTGGATAATTTCTCCACAATATTCTAGTGTTAGGTAAAATGTTGATTTGAACGTTGTCTAGTCACACCTACTCATTAGTTCACTGTATCTCACGGAATGAATGCAAAAAGTAAATTTTGAACGTTACCATTATTTGGAACTGAAAAGAGTTTACAGTTTAAAAGCTGTTAGTTTGTAATCGATCCCTTGATTTGTGCTCAAAAAGTTGGTTGAATAGTGTTATAACTTGTGCCCTGTGTCCTATTAATGTATAACGTAATGATACCGCCAATTAGACAACAGTGATTTATCGACCGGACCAATGACACATAAAACCCATACGAGCAGTCTAGAGTCTTTACCGGTTCTTCTTTCTGCCTAACCCTGTCTGTTAAGTCCAGAACACTAATCTCAGCCTCTGCGATATGAATAATTTATTTCAAACATACTGGGTTTATATATCAACCAAATAGACCACATCGTACCTCAAAATAGAAAACAGCATTTGTACAAGATTTGGCTAAATGTGGCTATGAATGTGGGAGACAGTAATTGATAGACTGGGCATAACTCAAAAATGGTAAATCGTATAATAATAGTTCATAGGTCAAAATAAAGCTTATGATAAGAGGAACACGAATATGAATAGTTTGGATATTTGACAATTATACGATAAAGATATACGTATAGTATTAGTCCCAAAATAGATCCCGACAGTTCCCAATCATTATTCTCATCGGTATATAGCAAATAGCCCCTTCTTAAAGGCAGATACTTCTACCCGTTCTTATTAAGAAAATATTTAGAAGAACCGTTCTGTTTAAGAATCCTTGTAGTATTTTTCATCAACACTGTTCGTAAGGTTTAACAACCATAGGATGGTTGTGGTAGCTAACTTATATTAATGATCCAGGCTTCACTGCTGATGTTTTGAACACAAAATGGCATTAAAAATCAACATTCATAGTTTAAATCATCCTCCTCTGACTATTAATTATGTTTGATTGATGTGATTGTTTTACAATTTCTTGTTAGTCAGCAGTATGGACTAAGCAAAGTTGAATAAACATTTTTGGTAAATACACAAACACTTACCAACATTTCTAAGTAAATTCACGGCTTAGTGATCAAATCGTAACTTTCAGTTATCTTTTTGTAGGTTTAAGAGCTGTTCTGCTCCAATATATCGCTATTTGTCGCATAAACAAAGCCGAGTACACAAATATGTATTGGCCAAGTTAATGAATTCTATTATTTGTTAAGTACTTTACTCTTTTGACATTAAAGTTCCGCATTTTTTAATATACAGATATTCTTCAACAAGGCACCAAGATATTTATTGTACCTCCGGCTAGTCCATTAAATGAAACAACTTTTGAAAGTCAAATGAATAACTTACCATTTCATCGATCTGAGCAAGTTAGTTAACTTACATGAATTATTATGATTGGAATCTATTACAAACATTAATGTTAGTGGCTTTTAAAAAATGATTTCGAAACTAACTTACGTTTAATCTATTAGAATCCTTTTTTTTATCTCCGTAATATTTATCATAAAAGACAAGAGTTTGTTTAAGGATAGAAAATCACAGTGGTTGGACAGTAAAACTATTTTTTATTCACATACCATCCCACATAACACACCAACTTTGTTTTTGTAATACATGGTTATTTCGGATGTAAATATCTTTCACAATTAAAACATTACACTTGTTTGAACGTATGTATGATGAATATTCTAAATCTTAATTTGTATACGAATGAGTCTTATGTGCGACATTTGTAACTGATATAAACTAAAAACGTATGGATGGATAAGCTATTGAGATAATTTGAACTCTGTCGTTTTATACTCACAAACATTAAAGATGATTCGTTTGGTATGAATGAACTAAACAAAACAAAGAGGATTGAAGTATTTTGTCCATGATTTTAGAGTCAGTAAAGAGTTGAGATTGCACATATATAGTCTATTGAAAATTTAATTTTTGACTGTGAAACGTATTTAAAGGAGTGAGTGTAATTCTCTCTCTTTGTTCCCATAGTGTACGTGGTTTGCACTTGTAAATTTGTAAACGGACTTTAGATACTTTAAACTGCCCATTATTAGTGAAAGCCTATGAAATAAAACATCATTGCACTTTATTCCTCAAAGTATATTATTTCTTCATTGATACAGATCTGACTATTTCTTATAATCGATAAAATGTAGTTAACGTGCTAAGTCATTGAATAGGAAGTGAAATCTAATCCAATATCTTTGAGACTAGACAAATGACCCGGTCAATTTTGAATTCGTTAAAACCTATCAAAAATCTCTACTTCGATGGTTCTCCACAGGTTTATTGATAGTAATCTGAAGCCAAAACGTCAGCTGAAAGTAAATTCACAGTTTTGAAAATTTTATTTATGACTGCCAAATTCAAAGGGGATGCGACAACAGGAATATTGCACAACAGATTATCAAGGTTTATAAGCTAAACCTACTTAGTGGAGCTCCGAACTTTTCCCTCTAGTAAACACCTCATTTGTAGATGTGTCTAGGATAAATTGGCATTTTGGGTCATCTCACTGTGTATCTATTGGCTTACTTGCTATTATGGATCCGGCAATATAGATTGTTCAAAGCATGCACTTACCAAACGCAAATCCGAGCACTATCCATTTTTGTCTAAAGGGGTATCCAAGTTAGTTAATAGCTCAGTCATCAAACACATTCTCAATTTAGGTAATTACCTATTTCATTTCTTGTAAAAATATCATTTCATGTTAGCTTCAACTCACTCAATACTTCAAAACATTTATTAATCTTTATTACTTTTTAAGTGATGCAGCGCCTCTCCAGTTGTTATAAACCATTATATTCAGTACTTGATTATGTACAACACTTTCGTTAAATGACTCAACACCATCTGTTTTATTTCTGACTACCATTTTTAAAAGTAAATTTTAATACAATGTTGCGGTTTAAGTAAGTGACATGATCTAAATTAAAGTTTTCCGCGGAACTATATTCTTTGTTGTGGTCATGAACCAATCAATGTTAGACCGCCATTGAAAAACTGAAAGCATTGGGGGTCATCCTGTTCTAATGTGGGACTCATCAGAAGAGCGCATTTACGATGTCATGTTGTGCGACCGTCTCCGGTTGGTAACTGCCTCACGGCCGACATGGTTAAACTTCTAGAACTACCTTTCTACGCTATTCACTAATGAGCACATGACAATGATCAGTATAGGTCTGTAGAAATTGTTATTTTTATTGAGATAATTTCTTCCAGTTTCCTATATTCACAATTATTACAATTCAGTAGGCCAGTCCTGAAGCAACAACTTGCATTTAGAGGGAGAAAAGCGCATTCCAAACATTCTGGCATTGTTGCTTAGTGCTAACAAAAGACTGCATTTTGTCAGCGTCTTCACCAAACAGGACTATATCATCTGCGTATTCTAAGTCGATAAGTGGACCTCCTGGTTGGAGATCAATACCCGAGAATTCAGTCGATGAGAATGTTATTTCCATCAGTAGGTCTGTGATGAAGTTAAACAGAAATGGAGAAAGTGGACAGCATTGACGGACACCACTTGAGGTTGCAAAAGTAGATGACAGTTCGCCATAAGCTCTGACTCGACTAGTAGTGTTCGAGTGAAGAGCCTTCACAAGGTTCATGTAATTCTGAGGTACGCCATTCAATGACAGACACTGCCACAGCACCTCTCGCTTCACAGAGTCAAATGCCGCTTCTAAGTCAAGAAAGACCACCATTGTCGGACGCCGATAAGTATGCCTGTGTTCGAGAACCTGATGAATGGTGACTATTTGATCGATGCGACCACGACCAGATCTGAAGCCAGCCTGATTTTCTCGTGTTTGCAGTTCACGAGTCTTAGTTAGGCGTCCGATCATTATCGAGGCTAGTATTTCAGATGCTATATTAGTTAAACTAATCCCTCTATGGTTGTCACAGGATGATTTTGACCCTTTCTTATATATTGGGATGATAAGTGATTGCGACCAGTCAGATGGAATGATGTCTAACTCCCAGATCTTAGCTAAAATATTAGTCAACCTAATCGCTAAAATTGGACCACCATCCTTAAAGACCTCTGGAGCCAATCCATCTGGACCAGCTGCCCTTCCTCGTTTCAGATTAACCATAGCCTCTTGAACTTCAGCTAGAGTTGGGGGACCTACTTCAATGTTCCATTCACACTGTCTGGGAATGGAGGGTAGTTGTAGAGTAGCTGAAGGCCAGCTGAACTGTTCTCTAAAATGTCCCGCCCACCGTTCTAAACGTCTGGACTGGGAGCAGATGAGAGTATCATCTTTTTCCGAAATAGTCTGACTTACACTTGACTTATTAATTCCAGTTTCTTTTATTAGTCTGTAGAGCTGTCTTGTGTTCCCTATAGCCGCCGCCTTTTCCATCTCTTCTGCTTTCGTTGCCCACCACTGCTCACGGTCGTTCCTTATACTTTTGCTTAATCTAGATCTGATTTGTTTTCGCTCTTCATCGTGTTCAGAGTCTGATGGGACGAGTTTGCGAGAATCCATCAGTGTGATAGACTTTGGAGAAATCCACTGGTTCTTTGTAACTCTGTGGTTTAAGTCACTAATAGATTTCATTGCTGTTTCCACAGCTGCTTGTATATCTTTCCAAGCAACATCTGGCAACCTGGACCGATCCATATATGTGCCTGGTCCTACGTTGTAGCTGACTGACTGAGTAGGGTAGCATTCACGATCAGTTCTCACTCGAATGTATTGTATTTCGCTTTGGTTGTTTAGTCGATCACCATTCTTTATGTTATTTTAACATTCAAATAATATGCAAAACAATCTTAATGATAGTAGTAACATTAATGGTATACTAAACGAGATGATTGTAAACTTGGAAAAACATAGTTCCATCCAGTAAACTGAGTTATATTAGTTAGAAAATATTCTCAGATTGTTCTCTCATCCTGTGAAAAAATAATAATCTTTTTCCCATTTCATCGACTTTCGATTTTTTATGTTTAGCCTAATCAAAGTTCATGTAATAATTTGAGTTCTACATCTGGGTCCAATCTCGATAGTTCAAGTATTCCACAAACAAATTCAAGACGTAGTAATCGACAAGTAGATGGTTATAAATTCAAATCGATTTGGGTAAAGAAAAATGTACAAGGTGGATTTACAGAAGTTTGGTTACAATCACCTGGTTCTTTTCTAAAAAATGGATTCACAATTCAGGTAATTCATTAATTTATTATTGTTTAAAATGAACCAGGCATTTTTAACCCCATGTCATTTTTCAGTTATCAGTCGTAGCTGCTACAATGACGTGGTGGTTTAGCTTGTTTATTATGATAACTTAATTAATCCAAATTCGCTGGAACACTTGCTCCTTTAGGTCATATCATGCTAGGCAGGTTAGTTAAAGACTAAAGGTATCAACCTAAATTTCGAGGACGAAGTCATACTGCTGAGTGTACAGAAGTAAAGTTTCTTCCAAATAACCAGTATGGCGTTGCTGCCTTTTAAAATTGAAGCAAGGGGTTATAAATGGTCACTCTTAAAGGTCCTATATTTAACCTTACCGACAGATTTTCGTCTCTGTAAGTAACTCTTTTACAGTATGGAGCCGATACATCAGAAACTTGAATAACATTTGTGCACGACTAACCTCGAACTCTTGTCCTTCGGGCTCTGTGGTCTTGGAAGTCTGATCAGCCCTGATGGGTTGGTATCGGACGAAATCTCAGCCCGGATTCGAAAAGCTCGCTTGGCTTTTGCCACCTTACGTCACCTATGGCGAAGGCGAGATATCCGTCTATCAATAAAAGGACGAGTATACTGCGCGGCAGTCCGTTCTGTTTTACTTTACAGCAGCGAAACATGGCCTTTAAGAGTAGAAGAGACTCGTAAGCTACTAGTATTTGACCACAGATGCCTTGGAAATATTGCTGGCGTCTGCTGGGATCACCGGGTAAGTAATAGTGAGGTTAAACACAGGGTATTAGGGGATGATGGTAAATCAGTTGATGAGGTTGTTAATCTTCATCGACTGAGACGCATGAGCCACGTGTCGCGTATGCCTGAACACCGATTACCTCGACGCGCAATGCTAACCGATGTTGGGGATGATTGGAAGAAAATTAGGGGCGGCCAAACCAAAACGTGGCATCAGTGCTTGAAGTCACTGACTTCTAGTCTGAGCCATGTTGGTAGATGCAGACTACTTGGTTGGGGTCCGCGTGACTATCGTAACCAATGGCTGGAGACTCTTGGTGACATGGCTCAGAATCGATCACAATGGCGTAGGTGTATACACTCCCTGTCTTCCCTTAAACTAAGAGATTAAAATCACTTCATATCTTTCCTTCTACTAATTAATTCTTTCTTCCTATACTATATCCTTATATGTAATCTTTCTCCTATATATTACCACCTTTGACCTAACCACTCCTATGAATCCGGTGTTCATCTTGCTGTGCTAATGAGGTATGGCAACCTGGACCGGTGCACGTATGTGCCTGGTCCTACGTTGTAGCTGACTGACTGACTGACTGGGCTCTGTGGTTACACTCCCGGGTCACTATAGTCACTATTAATTCAGCTTATTTTTCAGGCCCATAAGAAAAAGTATCCTTCCACTCTGTGTACAACCCGAATGTGACAACTGCCCTTATATCTTTAACAGCATTCGAGACCACCTTTTTCATAATCAAACCCCGTAACTTTTTAATATTTCTTCAATCCCCACTACCAACTTTTCTTCTCTGTCTTTATCACCATGCGTCACTAATGCTAACAAATCGCTCTTAGGAACTGTGCTTTGGACTACATGATGGAGTTTCAGTGTTCTAACCGTATGTCTAATCGAACATCAGGCTTCTTTAGGTGGTACTACAGAATCTCATGCTATCAATTTGTGCTGTGGCTTCAAAACATGCCTGTGGAACCCAAGTGTGGTCATTGAATGAACGTCACGTAGTAAAAATGGAGGGTTGGAGTGGCTTATCCTCTGTGTATCTCTGGACGTGACTTTTACTTCCTGTTTCCTTGTTGGAGTGTGCATCCCACTTAATTCAAAAGTAGAATAGACTCACATGGACTGCATCTCAATAGATAGTCTCTTATACGCTGTCTGACTAAAAGAGATATTAGGAGCACAGAAAGTTAGATATATTTGGTGGCACCTCTTCGTCTTCTCTGTCTACATTTTAAATAGCTACAGTCCAGATAAAACGAAATATGAGTTTTGCATAGAGCTTTCTGCTGTTCTTAGAAAACTGAAGGGTCGAGCGTAACCCTAGCACATAACTATTTGATCTTAGTAAGTTTTAAGTTTAAGCAAACAAGTTACATCGTAAGTCTCAAAATCGACAGATCGATGGACACAAATAGACCATATTACCATCACCTATCGTCGGGAAAGATTGTTAGAAGACTGTCGTTCATTTTGGAGCCAGTCAGTCAGTAACAACGCAGAACTTCGCACGTAGGTACATCAGTTCATGTTACCATACCACATTAGCACAGAGATGCATTTGTCGATTCAAATCACATAGTGGTAGAGGTAGTAAAAGTATAAGCAGTAATCGGAAAGATTAGGGCTTGAAGATGTTATTCAAGAAGTATAATACAGTGAAATAAATTTGGAAAGCGAAAAAGGGACATGAAGGTCTCAGAAGATTAGAACTTGAGAGAACATAAAGAGTGGATGAATCTGCTCCATTGCAGACAATTTTGAGCCATGTCATTCAGGGTCTCTAACCATCGGTTGCTATCATCTCACGGATCCCAACCAGGTAGTCTACACCTATCAACATAGCTCAATCCACTTGTCAGTGAATTCATGGATTTGTGCCATGTTGTGGTCTGGCCGCCCCTAACATTCTTCCAACCTACTCCTACACTATCGAACATCTTTTTTGGTGGAGTTTTGTTCTCTGAGCTGGATGGTTTGTTCGTAGAGCATTCGTCGTTTTTCTGAACGACGTCATCAGCACAAACATCAGATAGTACATCGCACGTCGAGGCAGTCGGTGATTGGGCATACGTAACACGTGCCCCAGCCATCTCAACTGATGAAGTTTCGCTACTTCATCAATTGATTTTCCGTCCTTACCTAGTACCCGTTTCCTAACAACTGAGTTATTTACTCGATGGTCCCATGATATACGAGCAATGTTTCAAAGACATCTATGATCGAATACTAGTAACCTACGAATATCCTCTACTCTTACCCCGGCCACGTTTCATTGCCATAAAGTAGGACGGAACGAACTGCTGCGCTGTTTTCAATTCGATAATGCTTCAAATTGAGCTTTACTGAAGTCAAGAAAGCTGCAACATGAAAACGTATTAGTGTTCAGCATTTCTACAAGATGTCAAAAATCTATTACCGGAAATACTAGAGAAGCAGTTAGACAATCATAAAAGCAATGATAACCCTAATGTAGACTGGCACGATATTCAGAGTGCTGTGAAAACAACTGTATTATCTACCAGTGATTTGAACCAAAAGATCTAGAAATATTGATGGAATTTGATACTATCTACTGAATTGATAGATGCTCAAAAACTCGTCCTATTAGGTTTGGAACACAATGCGGAGCGAAGACAACATAGACATAAACTGACATGTCTATGCAATGATCGTAACCAGTATTGGTCAGTGAAAGCAAGAGAGATTATAAAAGCAGCTCAATGGACAATGATAGACTACTTTTCAGGCATGCAAGTAGATTGGTATTAAAAAGGTTATAAGTTAGACTATTTCTGACAAAGATAGGGCAGTAATCCACTCTCAACCCAGTAGACTAAAACGATGTGTAAAACACTTTGAAGAACACGTTAACTGGTTTTCAACTACCATCCAGTTTTTAAGTGTTACCAAGCAAATTCATGTAATGTCAACACAAGTCATCTGAATAGTAATAAAGTTGAGAATATATGGTTTATCTAAAGTGGAGTAAAGCAGCAGGTCCAGATGTCAGTCAGTCAGCTACAACGTAGTACCAGGCACATATATGCATCGGTCCAAGTTGCCATAACTCATTAACACAACAAGATGAACATCAAATTCATAGGAGTAGTTACTTCAATTGCAGTAATACATAAAAGAAAGATTGTGTATAAGGATATAGTACAGGAAGAGAGAATTAGAAAGAAAGGTATAAAATGATTTTAATGTCTTAGTTTAAGGGAAGACAAAGAGTGTATATACCGACGTCATAGTGATCGATTCTGAGCCATGTCACCTAGTCTTCAAACATTAGTTACGATAGTCCAGATGTAATAGTCTAGAAAGTCTTTAATGATTGGGGTCTGGTCTTAGCAGTTAGAGTAGTTACGTATACCAAACAGTTGCTCCTCATCAAATTTTGGAATACAGACAAACCTACTGATTCCTAACCACAGTTCTATTTCTCGACCTTAAGGCAGCGTTTGATTCTGTTGGTTGCAAGATTTTATGGGACTGTCTGTCAATTAAGAGCTCACCACAGTACAGCATCCTTGTGCAGACTGTATACTCGAATGCTACTGGTTGAATCAGAGCTTATAACAAACTGTCATTGGAAGTGCTAACATTTAGTGGCGTTTGTAAGTTTTCCAGTGTCCCTATTCTTGTCTAACCTCGTCATAGACATTCGTCTAGTGATAATGCTCTCATCGTTTAACGTTTCAGGGATTGATTTATTACTGAGAATATCGCTTGCTAACTTAGAATACTTAAGTAACATAGTCTTGTTTTGATAGAAACTCTGAGAAAATGCAGTCTTCCAATCGTCTTGAGCAACAGTGTAAACACGTGTGGTTTGTAATTTGTTCCCTCTAAATTCCATATGTTGCTTCATGACTGGTTTGCGTTGACACTTAAATTAATGATAACGAGTGAAGCATTAGAGTGCTTCTACCATTTCACTTGTCTTAAATGTATCACCAGCCATCCTAGTAATTAGAATTAGAGGTTGCCTCCAAAGCATTGCTCGCGCTTTTTGTGACCTTTTAGTGTGCAATCATGATGTCAGACAAAGAACATTACATTCGTTGAGAGACATAGCCTAGAATTGTTTTTTTATAGAGCAGATGTTTATATTCTTTTTCTTCCCTCAGATCCTAAATGTTCTAACCAGCCTTTAAATTTTTTTATTTCACGGTTTTTGTCTTTTTGCCGGGATCATATTATCTATCTCTTTAATGTTTTCAACTGCTGTGGTATCTCGCTCTGCCGAAGTTGTGTTAAAACATGAACCGGTGCATGTATGTTCCAGGTTCTACGTTGTATATAACTGGCTGGTTGCGTGTCATTGTAAAAATAATTGACGTTATTACGGTTGTCTTATCTTCGTTTTAAAGCTTTATAAAAGTCTTACAGTCTAACATTGATGTGTATGTATATATTTAATGGGGTACTCTCATATTTATAATGTATCATATTTATCACTGAAGTGTGACACTTCTGTTTAACACAACTCGGTTGTTTTTACTTTTATTATTACTAAGTTTTATATGCGGTAGTGGGAATATAATTTTTTGTCGTTTTGAATGCATAATTTTACTCTAATGTTACCTTTTTTATGTATTTTAAATAGATAATCTTAATCGTACTAAGTGCTTGTCGAACGTGTTCGTATGAACATGTACAGACTTTGTAGATAGAAACAATATTCTTGATAATGCCCAACATTGTGTAACATCCATTTTTCATCATTCTCATTTCATTTCGTAATAATAAATATCATGCCATGAACTACCCAAAAATTGGTATTTTGCTCATTTGGGTACGCTTTCGTCGTTCTAGCTTAGCGGTATATCCATTAAGAATGTACGTTGTCCTACTGTCGGCTTTTTACTCGATTATGTGCTTATATCGATTGATACTTTATGTTACTATCTAAATTAACCGTGATCTTTTTGACAGTCCATCTTTCCAGTTTTTGTCCAATTTCGCTGTTAATAGCTCTGTTGGATTTGCTCTAAATGTACCGCTATTTTCGTTTTACTTCTCAGAAATAAATCTCTTACGGGCAGATCCTCTGATCGACCTAAGGTAAACAGACGACGTAATTTTGTCAGAAAAAGATGTTGGTAAGTTTCAGGGTCCATTTGAATTACTTCAGTGAAAATCTGAGAATGTTAGTTATGTATTTAGCACCTGTCTAATAAGCTGACACTCAAGATGTGGTTTGGCTGATACCTAACTTAATACTAGAGAGTTAAGTGATCGAGAAGACTCCCCAGTCCACTCAACTTTAAACTATTTTTAACCCTTGTTTGTTAACAAGTAAAAGAATTTTTAATGCATCAAACACATGTTTGACTTTTAGCAATCCAAGTAACCTATGAAGCTTGCGATATATCTGAATCTCATCCAAATTTTATGCGCTATTTATTCATTATTGCTTTGTTTTTAAACATTAATATCTACCGAATTCAGTTTTCGTAGTTTGAACTTGACTGAAATAGGAGAGTATTTTTTTCAGTTGCACTGTTTACCAAAATTTCTTTAAACGATGTCTATTCCATATATATATATATATATATATATATATATATATATATATATATATATATATATATATATATATATATATATAATGCTGCGTATTTACGAGAAATTTCTTTGCTAATCCATCACAGATTCTCAAATAATATGAACACCTTTTTCCAAATGCACGGTTTTACTTTATCATTGTTTAAAGCATTTTGAATTGTTTGTTATTTTGCTGTAACTTTCATGAATATTGTTGCAACTAAGTAAACAACATCATCCTACTTAGTTTATTCATTCATGTGTTCAAATAAATAAAATAAATAAATAAATTATTCATTCATAAGCATTACTTGACAGATGTTTCCATTCATCCCCAACATTTTTGTCATGTTACTTTACTACTTAATTTAATGAAGTAATAACCAACCATTGAAATTAATAAATTCTTGTTTTCAGATATTTGTACCATATATTTATGATAGTCAAAGACTACTTTTATAGAATAATGTAGCATAAAATAATATTATCATCCACTTGTTGTGTAAAAATTCACTTCTCTATAGCTACTCATTGATTGGTGAAAAGTTCAAATGCTACTACAAAATATGGATTCTGAATCAACCTTTCTAAAACTTTATCTTCCATTCAAACTAGGCTCTTTCAACGTTCTCACACTCATGCAAATTAAACAACAGATGGGTTCGTCTATTTATTTATTCATTTATTTGAACATATAAATATTGGTACAAGAGGGCACCAAATATATATGCCCCACAAAACCTTCCACAGAAAGGCCGTGCGCGACTGGCCTCAAGCAGTTGTCCCTTGGGCTCTGCGGTCACGCTCCCAGGTCGTTAAGATCAACACTAATCCAATTTTCTTTTCAGGTTCCTCAAGAAATACCCTTCCACGGTGTGGGCAGCCGGGAAGTGACATCAGCCCTCATACTCGTAAAAGCACACGAGACCAAGTTGGTCACATTCAAATCCTTTCTACACCTCCTAATACCTCTCTTATCTCCATGACCAACCCTCCTCACGTCTCTTTATCACCTCGCACCGCTAGGGCAAACGATTCGCGTACGTGGAACGCTATTCCTGGTCTCCTGAAACCACGCTCTAAACTACACGTAGGAGCTTTTAACGTACGAACACTGTGCCAAATAGGACAGCAGGCTTCCTTAGCTAGGACTTTAGAATCTCGCGCCATCGGTGTGTGCTGCGTCTCCGAAACACGCATACAGGATCAAAGTAGCGTCATTCATATGACCTCACCATGCCAAAATAAAGAACCGACTCGATTTACGCTTCGTGTATCTGGAAGCCCTGATTCTGCTTCCCGTGGCCTCGCCGGCGTAGGTATAGCATTGGGTCCTGGAGCAGAACTAGCTCTCTTAGAGTGGATCCCAGTAGACAGTCGTTTGTGCGCTGTCCGACTGAACGGAACAGTAAGGATCCGGAAAGATAGGGACACTCGTCGTTGCCTCTTCGTTGTCTCTGCCTATTCTCCCACTGACTGCAGCTCAGATGATGTAAAAGATGAGTTTTACAGAAAGCTTTCGGACCTTCTTCGAAAAGCTAAGCGCCCGGATGTAGTAATAGTGGCCGGTGACTTCAATGCTCAAGTAGGTAAACTAAGCGATAGGTAAAGACACCTAGGTGGATCTTATGGTGTCGTGGCTCAAAGAACAGATAATGGCGACCGTCTGTTGCAGCTATGCTCAGATAACCGCCTGTTCCTTGCAAATACTAACTTTAAGCATAAGGAAAAGCATCTTTTAACATGGCGACCCCCTAATTCGTCCCAACGTTGGACCCAAATAGATCACATCGCTATCAGCCACCGATGGAGGGGCTCGATAGAAGACTGTCGCTCATTCTGGAGCACATGCCTAGATTCAGATCATGCTCTAGTGCGAGCGCGTATTTGCTTGCGTCTTACTGGATGTAGGAAAGATCCTGCAAGGAAACCTCCTAGGGCTCTACTTAATGATAGTCAAGCTAAGAATATATTTCAGGAACAACTAGGAAAACAGTTAGGCAGCCATGTATGTGATGCCCACCCCGAGGCAGCATGGAACGATATCCAAAAAGCTGTGGAAACAGCAGTGATATCTGCTAGTAAGGTAAACCGTAAAGTTAGGGAGCAACACTGGATCTCAGCAGCATCTATCGCACTGATAGATGCTCGAAAACTCATTCCACCTGGCTCTGAACATAATGAAGAGCGGAGTCAGCTTAAGCGCAAGCTGACAAGAAGTCTACGCAATGATCGCGAACAGTGGTGGGTAGCGAAAGCAAGAGAGATGGAAAAGGCAGCGGCAATAGGTAATAGCAGACAATTGTTCAGACTCGTTAAGGAAACCGGAATTAGGAACCCGACTGTTAGCGAAACAATCTCAGAGAAAGATGGACATATTATTTATTCTCAATCCAGGAGATTGGATCGATGGGCAGAACACTTTAGGGACCAGTTTAACTGGCCTTCAGCCACACTTCAGTTTCCCACGATCTCTAGTCAACCTGAATGGCAAGTTAATGTAGGTCCTCCATCTCTTTACGAAGTTGAAAAAGCTATAGGAAATCTGAAGCGTGGGAGAGCAGCAGGCCCTGACAGGTTTACTCCTGAGATTTTCAAGGGTGGTGGTCCAGTATTAGCAGTGAGATTAACTGAGGTCTTAGGTAGAATCTGGGAACTGGACATAATCCCATCTGACCGGTCTCAATCACTGATTGTGCCAGTCTATAAGAAAGGACAAAAGTCCTCTTGTGACAATCACAGAGGAATCAGTTTGACTAATATAGTGTCTAAAATATTAGCTTCAATAATACTTCGACGCCTAATCAAAGCTCGTGAAGAGCAGATTAGAGAAAACCAGGCTGCTTTTCGACCTGGACGTGGTTGTACAGATCAGATATTCACACTACGTCAGGTTCTAGAACACAGACACAGATTCAGACGCCCCACAATGGTAGTATTTCTCGACCTTAAGGCGGCATTTGACTCTGTTGATCGTGAGGTTCTATGGCAGTGTTTGTCACTGAAAGGAGTACCAAAGAAATACATTAGCCTTGTAAAGACTTTCTACTCGAACACAACTGGTAGAGTAAGAGCTTATGGCGAACTGCCATAAGAATTGATTACCTCAAGTGGTGTTCGTCAGGGCTGTCCACTCTCCCCATTCTTGTTCAACTTTGTGGTCGACGTACTTTTAGAGATAACACTCTCCTCATCTAAATTTCTAGGGGTTGAATTTGTACCGGAAGGTTCACTTGTTGACTTAGAATATGCTGATGACATAGTTTTATTTGGTGAAGACGCTGACAAAATGCAGAGTCTTCTGACCACTCAAAGCAACAATGCAAGCATGTTCGGGATGCGATTCTCTCCCTCGAAATGCAAAATGTTGTTTCAGGATTGGGTTACATCGACACCCGAACTAGTGATAGGGAGTGAAGTAGTTGAGTGTGTCGACCGCTTCACTTATCTTGGAAGTCTCATCAGCCCTTGTGGTGTGGTGTGTGACGAAATCTCAGCACGGATACAGAAGGCTCGACTAGCTTTTACCAACTTGCGTCATTTATGGCGTAGGCGAGATATCCGTCTACCAACCAAAGGACGTGTTTACTGCGCAGCAGTTCGTCCCGTCCTACTTTATGGTAGTGAAACATGGCCGGGCTAAGAGTAGGGGATATTCGTAGGTTACTAGTATTCGATCATAGATGTCTTTGAAACATTGCTCGTATATCATGGGACCATCGAGTAAATAACTCAGTTGTTAGGAAACGGGTACTAGGTAAGGACGGAAAATCAATTGATGAAGTAGCGAAACTTCATCAGTTGAGATGGCTGGGGCACGTGTTACGTATGCCCAATCACCGACTGCCTCGACGTGCGATGTACTATCTGATGTTTGTGCTGATGACGTCGTTCAGAAAAACGACGAATGCTCTACGAACAAACCATCCAGCTCAGAGAACAAAACTCCACCAAAAAAGATG